AGCACGTGGGAACGAGATGATAAAAGTAAAAGTAATGATTCCTTTTTTTTCTTTTCTTTTCTTTTTTGGCTTTTAATCGAAATAAATCATAATTCATCGCGTTTTACTTTCACATTAAAATGTATCTTTTTGAATATGAATTTCTGATCTCGGTGAAAGTCATATTTCGTTGAATATATATATTGGTACAAATAAAAAAAGTCCATTGCCCTGTTTTCTTCTTTGTATATTTCTCACCACTAACATTGGTACTTTAATCGAATTGTTCCACTTTCTAGTTCGACACGATACATGACGAATACGACTACCTACTACTACTACTACTACAAAACGATAACTACGACCGAGAATACTTGTACACGCGAATAGATATATGCAAATGGGAAAGAAGAGCACACACGACGAACTTGCATACGCATACACATACGTATATGTATATGCGTATATAAATTGACAAGAAGTTGTTCGAAGACTCGAAGAAATTTTTATCGAACGCCATTTAGAAATTTTCCAACCGACTGACTACTTTTATGCATTCGTCATTGCAAACGTTTATTTGATTTACAAATCATACATTCTACAGAACGATTCATATTTAATATTACCAAATATATTTTCATTTTATATATTTACATGAAATATTGACTTTAAATAAAAAAAAAACGAAAATAATGTTAAGTTACATTTTTATATTAATGATTAATATATTAGAAAAATATTAAAGAAAAATATGTAAATTACATTGTATAAAAAATATATGCTAATATATACGCTGCATACGTATTTATAATTAATATATCAAAATATATATCCTCAAATTTTAAGCGTTATATATATAATAAAATATTACAGATATCTTAAACGAAAATATATTGGTAATGTTGCAAAAAAACTGGTGCATCTATAAAGATATACAAAGTAACATTTGTCCTTGTTTACAATGATTTGAAATTCCCGGATTATGACGTCCTATCGAATACTGAAAAATTCTATCACTCTAAGGCCATCCTCAAATCCGATACGATCCATCCATCTTTCAAAGTTTCATCCGATTGCGATCGACGTTATCGAAATTATAGTTTTTACGAGAAACTCACATAAATAAGAAATATTATTTCTCAGAGTTTGTTTCTCGCGTTACGTAACCCTTCGTACCCACCCACCCACAACCCTCCACCCCCTTCCCACCTTATATATTTTTCTTCTCGTCAAACATAAAATCTCTCGGAAGAAAATTTTCTTTTAATCTGGGAAAAATTTGCTTTCTTTGGAAAATCTCTCTCTCTCTCTCTCTCTCTCTCTCTTTTGAAAGAAGAAATGAAAAAGAAAAAAAAAAGGGAAAGATAAAGAAGAAAGGGAATAAAAAGAACTTTTTTTTTAGGTCAACCTAATGCTATCATCTTATTTCACGTAAATGTAAAGTTTAGCAAGAGAGGAATGTAAACTGGTTCGACTGAACATTGTATAATATAAGATAAGACTTTCTAAGTGTTCACATTGTAAATGTTCAAAACTGGTCCATCCAAAAGATTTTTATTACACACACGTCAGGAGAACATTTGTTTCATATAATCATTTCTACTACACGTTTTTAATCCGACTTATTATTTTTCAATATATTATACTACTATAAAAGTTTCTCGTTCGTATATAAAAAAAAAAAAAGAAAAAAAAAAAAAAAAAAAAAAAATGAAACGATAACAGTGGAGGAGAAATATCGAAGAATATAATACAAGGAAAGAAAAGTAGGAAGGTGGAACAATAGAAAAATATATAAACAAAAGGGAGATAGATAGAAAAAGAAAGAAAAAAAAAAGGGGGGAGGGGGTGCAGGGGAAAAAAAAAGAAAAAGGGATAGAAATAGAAAAACAATTTCGCGGAGGAGAGAATACACAGATTTTTTTTCATTAGCCGGTAAGCGAATCGCCTGTAACACGATGGGAAAATTCAATTACGTACGTTCGTTAAAACAAATTTACTTTATACTTTCGCGATCACGAATTTTAATTTGTTCGTCTCGGCTAGCGTAGTTATATAGAAAGAATGGGCGTGTATATGCGCGCGCGCGTCTCTATATATATATATAATATATATATATAGATATAGATACATACATATGCATGTATATTGTATATATACATTTCTTTTTCTCTCTCTTTCTCTTTCTCTTTCTTTCTTTTTTCTCTTATACTATCTTTTTCTCTTTTTATACTTTAAATGTGAGCGTGCGTGCATGAGTGTATACGTGTGACTCTAGTTATACGTGTGCATCCCTATGTTATATATATATATATATAATATATATATTTATATGTATATGTATATATGTATATGTATATATGTATGTTTTTATGCCCTTTCAATCTACGTTTATTCATTCTTTTATGGATACCTGCCGGGCTCGCCTTTCATTTTGTTTCAACAGAGAAGAGGACCGAATGAAAAGTTGGAACGAGAGGAGAAGGGAACGAGGAGAAATAAACGAGAACGAGAGAACTAAAAGAAAAAGATAGAGAGGAAGAGGAAGAGGAAGAGGAGGGGGGGTGAGGGATGTGATGGAGGGGTAACAAGAAATGAAGGAAGAGGAAGAAAAAGAAATAGTGGAGAAAGAGACAGAAAGATAAAAAGAGAGAGGGTTGTTACAGTCGTGAGAGAACAGGAAGGGGGGACGGGGTGGTGGTGGTGGGGGAGGAGAAGAAGGAAAGAGGGTAAAAGTAGAGACCTACGATGGAAACGGCGAAAGACTTATAGAAGGGGTAGATAAACCAGTAGAAATGCATTAGATATCCGCAGACGATATTACCCGAGGAAAAATTCTACTTTCTCAAAGAGTCACTCTTTTCTTTTTTTCTTTCTTCCTTTCTCTTATTCATTCGCCCTTTAAGGATACTTATTAAACGATATTTTAAACGATATTTCTCACATTCCGATCTTATATATGAATTAATTATTAATTATTGATGATGATAATAAGATTTATATTTAGCGAGTAATTTAAAATGAACGAATATATTTTGTATAGATTATATTATGTCAATGGGGATAGAGAAAATTGTTTTGAAAAGTATATACGAAGAAATGAAAAAAAAAGAATAAAATTTGAATAACAAGATATAAATATTCTTTACACGAAACGTTCTATGGATAAAAATGAAATAAGAAAAAGATTGCTCCATAGAAATGTATAGGTAAGGAGAAAAGGAAAAATGATCTATGACTAACGTGTGGATTCTTGTATATATTAATATTGTATATATATATATCAGCAAACAAGGCGAGGATGATTAAACGTATAGAGCTTGCATTATTAGATTCTCTCTGCTTTGTTGTACGGTTCTCTGCAGACCGATCCGATGCTTTTGCCGATGGGTAGACCAGATCGGAAACATCGATTGTGATGGCAAACTCGACGGGACATTGACAGAGAAAGAAAGAGAGAGAGAGAGAGAGAGAGA